AGACAGTGTTCCTAATATTATGGAGAGATGTCCTGGTTTTGTCTCATAATTGGAGCATCCTGTAACTGAAGCAGGGTTCTCAGTGACAGTACTTAGGGAAATTCCTAAGAGCTATCTCATTAATGAAGCTGGTATCCTCCTCTGCCTTGGCAGTGAAGTAGCCATTGAAAAGCTAAATCTTTCATCCTCATTTTCACAAAGAGCAAAGGAAGGTTCTTAGTGCTTAGGCAGGGGAAAGTTGCTGCTTTTAGAAATAAATGAATGTGGGGTGTGATACAAGGCTTTAGCTGAAGTTGATGGAAAGAATCCATTGACTGCAGTGGATGTGAGTCAGACACTCTAACAGGAAGGCCTATATCACGTTTAATTGTTTCCAGGCAAAGTGGTGTATAGTAGCTACAAAATGAGTATATCAAGGCATACACAGATAAGAAAATTTGATTTGATTTGGGGGGGAAACATTATGGAAAGCAGCAAAGTCCTAGAGCTCCAGATAAGGTAACTGCCGTTATAGAAGTGATCTATGAAGGCTACTGTAGTACCATAAGAACTGATGAAAAATTAAGCAACTGGTTCCAAGACTGTGGGGGCACGAAACCACCATCATGTATCATGTTCTCAGACTGGACATCAAATGCTAGCTGTGTTGGCGAGCTTGAGAGTGGATGATCTACAGTTAAATTTATAAACGTAGGCACATGACATTGTTCAACGGAGTTGAAATTATATTTTTCAACTATACCTTGGACAACTATTGTAGTCAACAATAAATGCCCAGACAAAAGTGGTTACATCTTGGAAAAAATGTAGAAATGTATATATACTTAGGAAGATTGATCAGAGCCAATGATTCTATCATGCATGAGGTTAAAAGGAGATGTGACTTAGCCACAAAATTATGATCTGAAAATATACATTTGGCACTAAGTGAAAATTTATAAGACTACTGTACTAGAAGTATTACTCTATGTGGAAGCAGCTGCATTAAATGAAAGTCATTAGAAAACTAGAAGCAGCAAGAGGGGAGAGCTCTTCAAAAGACTGCAGGTGTACAGTAAAATGATGTTAAGACAAATGGAGAAGTTAGGAGGGCTGGATGTGAAATCCAGGTATGGAATTGGTTACAATAGAAAAGGTCATGGTGGGGGATACTGCAGAAGACAAACAGATGGAAAGACACTAAAGAAAGTAAACCTTTCTTGGAAGTCAGTCTGCCCTACAGGCCAATAATCAATTATGTACGTTGGGTTTGTGACCATTCTGGACTTCATAGAAGAATATGCTATGTACAGGAATGAATGGCACTACTCCCTGTGTCTGCCAAGAAGAAGGAGAGCAGAACAAAATGGAGTTCATGGCCTGGTGTCTTCTTCACCATCAGGGATGATCCAAAAAGGACAGGACTTCTCTCTCAGTTATGTACTTCCAAAAAGCCCTTAAACTTTGCTGATCTAGTGTGTAGCTATGACGGAGAAGGCAATATTAACCTAGGGGTAGTCAACTGTCTCCAGGACCATAAAAATTGATGACATATTAAGTAGCTAGTTCTAAGACAATGGGACATGGAACCACCATCACATACTATGTTCTTAAAATGGACATTAAGAAGATGTCTAGATTACAGCTCTCTTTCGAAAGAGGGATGTAAATTAGACATATTGAAATTGCAAATGAAGCCGGGATTTGAATTTGCATAATTGCATCACGGCAGATTTTCAAAAAATGCTATTTCGAAAGTGAAACTGTGGTCTAGATGCAGTTCTTTCGAAAAGAAAAGCCTTTTTCAAAAGATCCTGTAAACCTCATTTTTTGATGTTAGATGAGTTGGAGGGCTTCAGATTGAATGAACTAGAGGTACATTTGTAAACCTAAGCAGATGACATTGTACAACACTTGAACTGATGATATTCTTCACTAACTTGGAAAACTGTTGTAGTCAACTTGGATTTACATTAAATGCCCAGGCAAAAGTGTGGTTACATCGTGGAAAAGTGTTGATAGAACAAGCAGTGTTGTATGTGTACCAGGGGAAAAAAAAAATGAAAGGCAACAACAATAATAATATGATAAGTAAATAAAGTTTTCAAGGTCCATTCCAAAGCATCTGGATTTGGTGCAGAATCTACCTATTGACTACCTCTGGTAACCTACCTACCTGATTCTCAACAGAAAAGCAGAGCACATAGTGGAGATAAAAGGGCAACCAGCAGCTCAGTCATTACCCTCCTGTGAAGATCAACTACTTTATGCCTGTTTAGAATTTGGTGTGGGTCATCCTCCTTTCCAAGTGCTAAAGAATGATTCTGTATCAGCCACTTGTAACTATTTAGTCTTTAAGATGTTACTAGACTATTTGTTGTTAAAATTTTTTCCTGTTACAAACTTACTCTGCTATCCCTCTGAAGCTTATCTACTTGCTGTCTTTTTTTCTTCCTCCCCTGTAATTTATTTTCCTTCTCTCTCTCCCCCTCCCCTGTAATTTATTTTCCTTCTCTCTCCCTCCCTCATTTATTCTTGGATCTGGACTTCCAACACTCCAGTCATCTGAAGAAGTGGGTTGTGCCCATGAAAGCTCATGATACCATCTACATGTTTTGTTAGCCTTTAAAGTGCTACTAGTCTATGTGTTGTTTTTTAAGTTTTTCCTGATACAGACTAACTTGGGTACCCCTCTGATATTTTATCAATGTAAATTTACTAGCACGGAAAACACCCTCATAAGATTAGATTCCTTGACTGGGTTTTTCTACTCTGCCTGCACAGTGCACTACTTTGAAACTACAAAGCAAGCATATAATAAAGTAGTTCAATTAAAGACCAGTAACATTTTAATTCATTTCATACTCCGTGCTCAATTTCACATGCTTTTCCTGGCCAGCCTGCTGACAAGATTATGTCTAATGCATTGTAAAATCTGCAGTTGTAACTAAGTGCAGTACAGGAAACTTGAACAACAGGAATTTAGCAGGTTAGAAAGACTGTATAAAAGCATGGTACTCTATAAAAGACACAAGTACCTCTAGTATGTTATAGATCTGTGCCAGCTAGGCAATACTGCTCTTAAGTGAACTCTTTCCACCAAAGGAAACCATGCTATTTCTAATATAGATTTGGTTTGGATTTTACGAGTTGCTGCCTGCAGCATGGTGCTCCTCATTTAATTCAAAGTGAAACTAATTCCAGTTTAAAATAGGAATTAGAATAATAGAGCCATCCCTACAAACTCAGTATCTCATCAGGGAGAAGAAACTCAGTGACAGCAACCAATCAGTTTAGTATTGGAAAAAGCTATCAACTATTTTACAGTTTAAAAAAAAAATCAAAAGTTGAAGAGATAATGAGTCAAATTCAGTGACTACTTGTGGCCTGTACAATTTCATTAACTGCTCTAAAATTATAGGGGCTGCAAGATAGCAAAGATTTGTACCCAATTCACTCACATATAAACGGAATTAATTAAGGTATTGGTCTTCCAGTTCAGGTTATTTTTCAGAGCTATATAATTAGTGATGTGCCATATAAAATTTCAGACAAGCCACAGTTTCTCCTCTTTTAGCATCAGTTGGAAACTCCAAGACCAAAATGGGAAAGGGCTTTGGTACCTTTAGCGGTCTGGGGGAGTCCAATCTCTGAACTGAACAGGGTCAAAAAGAACCTCTGCTAGCAGCTTCAGCTGTTAATAGTAAAGAGGCACTTCTGATACAACCATACAGATCTCAAGACAACAGCGGTTCCAGGTGGTATCCCCCCAAAACATGGATTTTTGCCATGTGGGCCAAGATCTGCTATTTCTAGGCCTACAAGAAGTGTAGCATAAAAAGGACGAGACTGAGTAGTTTTATTAAAAGGATTCTTTGAGGGTCTATGCCCATTTAAACGGGAAAATGGCAATAAAAAAATCAAGAACTATGTTGCGTGGGATGCTCCTGTAGTTTCTTTTCACAGAGATGTTGCTGTTGAAAATCCAATAAAAACTACAGGGCAATATTCAGAAGTGCAGGGTAATTATCAGACTCCCTTTTTGAATGCCTGTGGTTAAATATTGGAGCTACCTTCTTTGTTGTCACACATGTATGTACGGGTTCTGTAGACACAAGTACCTCTAATATGTAACAAAAAGACCAGAGGTGGGCAAAGGGGCTTCTGCGGACCAGATCTTGCCCACAAAGTGGATGTATTCAGCCTGCAGATGCCCTGCCACTCCCCTATCCCCAGGCCAAATCGGGATCTGGGGGCAGGAGGAACATGTGAAGTCTCTTGCTCCCTGCCCCCGCCCTGCAAGCGCCACCTGCCCCTTGTGGGGCAGGGGCAAGGGCAGGGAGCGAGAGACTTCATGTGCTCCTCCCACTCCCAGACTCTGATTGGCCTGAGGGTGGGTGAGTGTGCAAAATCTCCTCCTGTCCTACAAAGGGCACGTGGCACTTTGAGTAAAAGCGGCCCATGCTCCTTGCAGGGTGGGGGCAGGAAGCACATGAGGTCTCCTTCTGCCTTGCAAGGGATGTGCAGCGCTTTCACTCTAAGCACCACATGCCCCCATGTGCGCTCCTCCCTATCTGAGGCTGATTGGCCTGGGGTTAGGGGCAGCTTGTGAAGTCTCCTCCTGCCCTGCAAGGTGGTGGGTGCCTAGAGGAAACTGCCAGCTGTTCACTACAGCTGGCAGTTCTCTCTAGGTTGGGGGAGGGCGGGGGCAAAGACTTCATATGCTCCCCTATCCCCAGGCCAGTCAGAATCTGTGGGAGGGGGAGCACAGTGATGTCCTGGCTCCACCCCTTCAGCCAGCAGCCCCGTGGCCACTTAGAAAAAATGAGTGAAGTGCCTCTCCCACCCCATCTCAAATTATTAACCACCCCTGAAAAAGACAGTGGTCACTAGGTTGCATAAGAGTTTGCAAATGATTCTATCTATTTGGGTTTAGCAGTGTACAAACATCCGACAAAACAAACATTCTAAGACCAAAGTGCAATAAAAACCACTATAGTAAAAATTTAATGAATTGTAACTTTCCGCACAACTTACAGCTGACAGCCCAAGGTGTATTATAACAAAGTCTGGTAAGTAACACTGACTCAGAACTGAAGTTGAAGCAGGTAATCTTTATAAGGCAACGGGCAGCATTGCACAAGGTATTTTCATGATTTATGGGGATTGTCCTACACTTTTAGGGTAAGAAATCATCACATACAAAGAGGACAATATGACCTTAAATTTAGTTTTTGGACAAATTTTTATTTTCAAAAGGTGGATATATTGGAAAATGTTCAGTTCCATTACAACTGATTGGTCAGTCCAGCTCTATGACCAGAATTTGGATTGATGATTCTTCAATAGTCAATTAAGTTGTAAAAATCTATTTCCCAATACAGATCAATCCAGACTAGGGGCGGGCAATAATTTTTAGTGAGGGGCCATTCTGATATTTTGGGAAGTCGTCAAGGGCCACACTTCTGTGGAGGTGGCATGGGATCTGGGTGAGTCTAGAAGGGATCTTGGGATTGAGGACTGGGGTGTAGAAGGGAATGTGGAGTCTGAGAGGGAGTTTGGATGAAGGAGGGGGGTTATGATCTGGGGCAGGGGCTCAGGGTGCAGGCTCCAGGAAGGGTTATGGGTTCAGGAAAGGATTCTGGCTGGGGGAAGGGTAATAGGAGGGAGTGCAGGGTCTGGGAGGGAGTTGTGACCTGGGAGAAGGGGAAAAATGGGGTGCAGAGTGTTGGGTGGTGACGTGGGATAGGTAGTTGGGGGGGAAGAGGTGGTGGGGTGCCAGATGCTGGCTCTGGCTGGGAGATGCTTAGGTGGCTCCCAGCCAGCAGCTCTGCAGGAACCCAAGACTGGCTCCCTGCCTGAGTACTGGGTGGGCTGCTCCACATGGCTCTGCTCCAGCACATAAAGGGTGGGAGGGGGAAGACAGGGAATGGGGAGGCTTCATTTGCTGCCCTTGCCTTCAGCAAAATTTCTCAGCTCCTATTGGCTGGAAACTGACCAATGGGAGCTGAGGGATTTTGCCATGGTGTGGGGACAGCGCACAAAGCTTTCTCCTCACTGCCTAGACTGCACAGCAATTAGCCTGCTGTTTGAAGGGGCTGCAGCTACTCTGTAGTAATGTGCCGGCAAGGCAACCGCAGGCCAGATCCAGCGGCTTGGCGGGCCGGATCCAGCCCACTAGCTGCCTCTTGCCCACCTTGATTGAGATGGTACAAAATTTTTTAATCCAAAACACCTATTATCCAGCTTTACATCAAATGCCTGTTTTCCAATGTTTGAAGAGATCCCAGTGATCTCCCTCCAATTGGCTCATCCTCCTCACTGCAACTGTTTTGCCAGAACTTCCTTACCTGATCTTTAAGCTCCGACAGCTGGCCAGAGAGGTTGGTTACCAGCTTCATGGTAGATTCTAGCTTTTCCTGCAAGTTCCTCAGTTCATTCTGTTCTCCCTCAGAATCACTGCTTACAAGTGACATAGCACGCATCCTAGGGAACCAATCAAGGTTTCTTTCCTGGAATTCAGAAATGAGGATCTGATTACTTCTAGACAAGGACAAATCTTCAGCACACACAAGGAAATTTTTCAGAGTCACAAGCTCGTAAGATTCAGGCGTTCAGTTTTATTTGCACCCTCTTGGGAGGTTCTAGAACTACTTCACCATAGAGTTTTCATCACTGGAGAGAGAATAGCTCTGCAGGGTTTTTTTAATAGCTACAGAAAAGTAAGAGATAAACGTTTTGTAGTCTGTGCTTATCCTTTCCTGCTAATGTACTCCCTTCACCCTTAGATCAGCTATATTCCACAATATATGAATCCCCGCCTAACACAAACTGACCATAGTTAATGCTTGAAGATGCATTAACCAGAGTTAGAAACCAGCTGCTGGAATTGAGGAGTCCACTGGTATCAAACCTTCCATCTGATACAGAGGGGTTCTTCCTTGAACTGCTGCAGCTGATCTCTGAATTGGCTACTTGAACTCAAACCTTCTTCACAACCGAGAGAAAAGTATTTAAATACGATTGTGCAAAGGCATCTATAGTGCATTCCTTTGGCTTCCTCATTGCTATTGTCTACCATTATGAGACATCCCTTTTCAAAGCACATAGTTCAAGAGGAATATGGCAGATGTGGCCTTGAACGGTAGTGTCTGAGAATCAGAGTTGTGGGAAGTTTTGTCAAAACTGTATATTGGACAGAAAAATTGGACTATCATGAAGTACAGGCAGTCCCCGGGTTACGTACAAGATAGGGACTGTAGGTTTGTTCTTAAGTTGAATTTGTATGCAAGTCGGAACTGGTACATATTGTAGGGGAAACTCTAGCCAAACATTACTCCAGAGCTCAGTTTTATTCTCCCACACCTCACTTCCCTCAGTCCTTTATTCTCAAGCTGAGGTGTCTGCTGAGAAAAGCCGCTCCGCGTCTCCCTGGTCTGCTGGAGGGGGGCGCTAGCTTCGCGTCTCCCTGGTCTGCTGGGGGGAAGCAGCTAGTGCGGGGTTGACTCACCCCGTTTGTAAGTAGGGATCCAATGAAAGTCGGATCCATGTAACCCGGGGACTGCTTGTACTTGCTTTGTGGGGACAATTTTTTTTCTCGTGATAACACCCAAATGATCTCGGCAGAAACATCAAACATTTTTGGGTGAAGTACTTTGTAGTGTATGTATAAGCAAGTGCTGTAGTTGCAAGCGGGTGTGTGTGTATGAGTCAGGGGAGGGAATTTGATCACTAGAGAAAAAGGCAGTGATCTGCAGGATCACAAATGGGTAGAAAATCTGATCCAGGAAACACATGATAAATGTTGCCTACTCTCACCATTTTATCACAAATCTTGTGATGTGAGTTTCTTAAAGCCCCAGCTCCTGGAGACAAGTTACCACCAAAAGAATTTCAGCTTTTGCTTAAAAAAAAGTCTCTAACTATCATGGTTGTCGAAAAGGACTGAAAATATGACCTCTATACATTCTAATGGCTTAAATAACAGAAAAAAAAGAATTGTATCATTTTTCCAAGGTATGAGTTTAGGGGATATGCATTTCACAATACGGGTATTAAGGTGGGCCAGAGCTGGGTTCTATTCCCAATTCTGCCACTGACCTACTGGGAAACTCATGTCACCTCTGTGCCTCAATTTCCCCACAAGGATAAAGAGATAATGCTTTAGATTCTATTTGTACAGTATTTTGAGATTTATGGGTGAAGAGCACTATATTAGATCTGGGTGCTATTAATATGGCCCATTAAAAATCTCTGCTAAGGGTTAACAGGTTATATAGGAATTTTGTCTATGGGGGTATTTTTACCACAAGTGGATAGGTACCACATGTTGCCAATCAATTTTAGATAGCTTAATTACTTTACTATACAAGGCTTGTATGTCTGGCCAACACTCAAAGTTTATCTGGTAACATCTAGCTGTAACTGAACTGAAATGCTCAGTTAAGTAACAAGCCTGGCTGAAGGGGTAGGGCAAGTATCCAGCGGAGAAGGATTCAAGGGACAAAATAATGCAGCGAAGCATAGTGATTGCAAGTTGGATGGGCCCTTTCACTTACAAACCTCCCTCAACACCTGTGTTTTATCCTCATGTATGTCCTGACTCCTTTAGGGAAATAAAGAGCTAAAGGCAAAATAGCCAGTTACACAGACACAGTGTTCTAACTCCCTCCATTCCACCTTAAGAGAAAACAGAGTGGCTACCTCTAGACTGGCATGATTTTCTGCAAATGCTTTTAACGGAAAAACTTTTCCGTTAAAAGCATTTGCAGAAAATCATGCCAGTCTAGAGGTAGCCACTCTGTTTTCTCTTAAGGTGGAATGGAGGGAGTTAGAACACTGTGTCTGTGTAACTGGCTATTTTGCCTTTAGCTCTTTATTTCCCTAAAGGAGTCAGGACATACATGAGGATAAAACACAGGTGTTGAGGGAGGTTTGTAAGTGAAAGGGCCCATCCAACTTGCAATCACTATGCTTCGCTGCATTATTTTGTCCCTTGAATCCTTCTCCGCTGGATACTTGCCCTACCCCTTCAGCCAGGCTTGTTACTTAACTGAGCATTTCAGTTCAGTTACAGCTAGATGTTACCAGATAAACTTTGAGTGTTGGCCAGACATACAAGCCTTGTATAGTAAAGTAATTGAAAAACTTGCCAGTCTAGATGCAGCCAGTGAATATAATTTTGTTTACAAGAACACAACCAGCACCACAAAAGCAGCAAGGAAATAAGGACAGTTTCATCTAGAATTTCTGCCACAACTTTTTTTTTCCAAACAAAAACACGGAAACCTTAAAACTGAGATGATGAAAAATGAAACAAAAACGAAAAGGGGAACATTTAAAGGTCATCTGCTGACAAGCCTGCTGTGTCTAAGTACTGCAGTCTATTCCTGTGTCATGGATACCAAAGCCTGCGAGTCTCTCAGCAGGATCCTATTTGCACAGAAAAATTCTATTCAAGGTTGAATAGAAGCTGTATTGTGATGATCTAGTTTCTGTTGAATTTTAAGGAGAGCACCAAGGTGTCTTTAAAGACATAGGAGCCTTACATCTTTTGGTCATAAATTTCAGTATCTTTTTAAATACAATAAAGTGAGCCATAAACTCAAAGCTCCAGTCCTGATCTGTTTCCTTGTCTCCTCCCCCTGCCCTTACTACTGGCATTCTGCATACCAATGCTGTTATGTACTGTCTGCTGTGGTCCTCCTACAAGCCGAAGCACCACGATCCTGGCTGTGCACTCAGCTCCCTCTTCCCGTCACAGTAGCAGCTTCCTCTGTTTAAACAGACGAACTGACTAAAAGCCACTGACGGAAGCTGGCTAACCGCAATACCGGGTTTCGGATTAGCTCTTTTCTAGGTAAAGTTGGAAAAGTCCCTGTAAAGCAAATATCATTACAATCTCAGACATGGGGGCGATGTTGACCAGTCTTTTAAAATGTCCATGATTGGAAATTAAAAACAAAATAGAGGAAGCTGTAATGCATGATGCAGATGTAATGCATTCTGAGAAGTGGTTGCTTTTCCCTGTTTCCACTGAAAGTCTATTCTAAGAAAAGTTTCTACGGCAACCTCAGTTAGAAACACGTTGAATGGTTAAAATGGTCAGTAAAAAAAGTACCCCTTGATAAATTCAAGATGGAGTAACTACGTTCCTCAAGAATCTTGTTTTCAAAAGGAAGCACGATCTAGAAGCACAGAAATCTGGGTTCTAGCCTCAGCTCTGCTACTGATGTGTCATGTGGCCTTGGGGAAATCATTATTACTCTAGGCCTCTGTTTTCTCATCTGAATATTGGGTTTAAGACTTACCTCCTACGGCTATCAGGAGAGTTCATTCAATACTGTTTGTCAAGCAAACTTCATTGCTATAGCCTTCTGCGTAAAAGCAGAATATTTAAATTTCAGCAATATGCCATTTCAAAAATCATGTCCATAAAACAGATAGGTACACTGCAAAGTGCTTTGAAAATTAAAAGCATGAAGCCTGTCTTTTCTGAGGTGAGATGAGGTAACAAAGAGAATCCCATCGGTTTATTTCTTCATTTCGTATCAAGCTAATTTTTCCTTCAATAGGTTGGATGCAATTCCCTCCACTTGGAGTTCACCTTTCTCCCATTTTAAAAGTAAGTAGACATTGTGCCCCCTGTCAGTGAAAACAGACTAGTGGTATTAACATTTTATTTTTCATTGTTCTTGTAGGTCTGTGCTATCTTTTCCATCATGAAGAAAACAGTTACAGAGCTCTCAATGTATGGATACCATTCCCAGATGCAGAGTAAGACAGCACTGGAATATAAAATAACCCCTGCTGTGTCTTCAATATAGTCCAAAGTTGACTATTGTTGTCATAGGTGAGGTAATTTCATTACAGACAAACACTATCCAGTTTTAATCATCACGAGGAAGGGTTGCTATAGGATTGCCCAAAGGAAGTTCCTTTGTTCCTTGAGAAATTATAGCACTGCCCTTTTCCATCCACCTACTTCTAATTGTTTCCTTCTAAATTATGTAAGTAAACCTGGACACATTATATCATGAAATGGCTGGGCTGAATGGAAGAATTAACTGGTCAAAGATTGCGCAAATTGCCCTTGGATGATCACAGTAGAACAATGATCATCAATGTGCTAAGAGTAACAAAACCCCTCTAGCTCTTGTGAAATGCATCCAGCGAGAGAGACCAGCTGGTTTCTGAAGTGATGCTGGGTCAAGTGTTATATGGTCATTTTCTGAATTAGAGGAAGTGGTATTGGTGATTCAGCAGGTTGTTCTCTAACCTCAGATTCAGGTTTGTAGGAGGGGCACACAGATAGCAGGCCACATCCTCAGTTGGTGTGCATCCTCACCATAGGATCTATCCCAATAAACTTTGACTAATACCCTGCTGAGGGACTAGTTCATTGTGCTGCCAAATTTGTAATCAGGATATAAAATGGATATGGCACTTTGCACAATTCCCATTGATAAGGATGCTAGTCCTAGAATTCTGACAAATTGCAAAGTGGGTAGCATATTTTTCTTACCTAAATCCCCTCCCCTCCCATGATTTCAAATTCAATAATGTTATTCTTCCTCCCTTTCTCCTGAACTCTTGTTAGAACACTTACTGTTAGCAACCACACTAATTTTCCCTGGAGATGTTGCTCCTTACAGAACACAAAAGTGCTTTTAGGGGGTCCATCAATATTAAGGATACTGCACAAATTTAACCCTTTACATTATCTTGAATTGAGGCTCAACCTCCCCCTTCTCCCACTTTTCTTTTTCTGACAAAAGGACAGAGATTGACAGAGTTAAAAGAAGGCCATCTCAAATGCCTGTACCAGGCTAATTCTTGCCGTGGCACTGATTTCGGAACCCTCCTGTCAAAAAGGAAGTGAGTGTGAAAGAGAAAAAAAGAGTGGAATAAAAAAGGACCTAAATGTGGAGAGTGAATGAGGTGGAGGGGGAACACTGGAAGAAAATACACCTTGCATTGAGGTTTGTGTTGCACTTAAAATGATGAATAAAGGAATGAGGATCTTAGCTGTGTTGCCCTGTGCCTGAATTGCTCTGAAGATGTTCTATATTAATAGAACACAGAGCCGTAAGGAAGACTCTGTTCTTCTAATTACCCTTCTTCATCCTTTGTTCCCTCCAACAAAGAAGCAGATTCACTGCAAAGCTCACCCCTGTTGAAACCATGCCTAAATGATCGACCACACAAAGCAGGAGGGAAAAAAAATCCATTGGCATAGGACAAGTGTTGGCAAAACAAGCCAACTTAGAGTTCCAGAAGCACTTTGAAGGGTATATACTGTTTGTCTCTGCTAGAGGGCAGGATACATTAGTCCCATATAGGGACAATTAGGCAAAGCAATTGCTTTCCTTCATAGCAGCTGTTGATGTACACCCAAGCTCTTAAATTAACGATGGAACAAATAGCTTAACTAGCTGAATCCAAAGCTCAAGACCAGTGTGCCTGCAACACAGTTTAGAGCAGCCAGTGGCCTTTTGCCAAACACATCTTTTAGCTCCTCTCTTCCTCTGCTATTAGTTATTATCTAACAATGTAATTACATTACCTAACTCTCTAAAGCATCTTGGGATATGTTTTGCATGGAAGAGTCCACCAAATAAAACTAATTCAAATGACAGGCTCATGATTGGACATGAAATTGCTACTGTAACACTTAACCAAACTAAGGCTCAGAACTCTGAAGTTATAGGTGAACAATTACATCTGCATAGTTTGCATGGGCAGCTTCCCCCACCATGTGCACAAATAGCTCATTAGATTGGCTGTATACAATTATGTTGATTGTATGTGCAACAACAGTATCTCCATGTGGAAATTATGAGTACAGTTTTAAAAGTAACATGAGTTGTTGATTTTCATAAAGGTACCGGTAATTGTAGGTTTTAGGGAGTCAAATGCTACATATACTGTACTGACCACTATATTTTGCTGGTGTTATTTTATTGTTTCAATGATCACCAATGTTGTTAAATCAGAGAAACGCTGGGATAAACTCCGTGGTGACAAGCTCATTATTGTATAATCACAGTTTGTTTTATTCTGACTATCCACCTTTACTGTGGTCTGCCCTGCTCCTCAACCCACTTTGGATACATCTATGCTTCAAGGTACGAGAGGAATTCTCATCTGGGGAGCAACTATTTACACTGCTTCTGATCAAGTTAGTGTGTTAATAATAAAGTGGAAGCATAGTAGCATGACCAACAGGAGGGGCTAGTCGCCCAAGTGCATGCTTAGTATTTCCAACGGCTGCATACTTGGGATAGTTAGCCCCTCCCCTGCTGCTATAGGTACACTATTTTTAGCACGCTGGATCAAACACTTCTATTTGGTCCTGCCATGGAGGCAGGGAACTGGACTTGATGACCTCTCAAGGTCCCTTCCAGTTCTAGCATTTGATGATTACCTAACTTAGACCACTTTAGCTATGTGAATAATGTAGCTGAAGTTGACGAACTGCAGCGAAGATACCATGCTAAGCATACTTAAGGCAGTCAATAGATGATGCTCTCCCATCAACATTGCTTACTCTTCTTGTTTTCGTGGAGTGTCGGAGTCGGTGGGAAAGCACACTGTGGTCAATTTATTGCGTCTAGGACACAGCAAATCAAGTCCTGCTGGATTGATTGCTGCCTGTCGATTTAATGGGTAGTGAAGACATGCCCAAGATAGTTCTGGTTCTATCCCTGGATGCTCTGCTGACCAGCTCGGTGATGTTGGGCAGTTTATTTGAACTATGCCTCGTTTTTCTCTTATGTCAAGGTGATAATGAAACATCTTTCTTGGTATAGGGCTTTGATGTCTATGGTTGAAAAAGGCTACTGAGATGATAAGCATTATTTCAGGAAGCTTTGTGGGCAAAATTGTCAAAATGAGTCCTTTTTTTCCTTAAGTGCATCTGTTTATATATAGCGCACGCACGCACGCGCACACACTCTAAAGTTTATATGTCTAATTTCATTTCTACATCAAAAAAAGGAGCAAAGGAGCACACCAAGTATTTGGTTCTACATTCCTCAAAACTCTAGAGTAAGGCAAATTTGTACAGACAAGTTATAAAATGCCTGCAAAAGAGTGCGACAGATGTTGAGTGACACACTAAAGATATCTATACTAATGGGATAGTAGTAAATGAGACTGCTAGAGTAACTGGAGGCAAATGCAGCAGTCTAAATAAACTCTCAGACTGAGAGGATGGGTAGATAAGACCATCTGTAAGGAGTTGCACTGAGTCTGTATGAATCATTTGGGTGTGGATGTCAATGTCTAGCCAACACAATACCCCCCCCCCCCCTAGTATTATTCAGACATCACCTAATGTGCCTTGGTGACTACAAAGCAGTACCGTGAGTGAACTACACCTTTGTTCCAGGGAAACACAACCAGCATTGGACTATCTGTGTTATAGCACAATTAACATACTTTCCAGATAAAAAATACTTTTGAAGAGGCATTGATCTAACTTAAAAGTCTCACTATCTTAAACAAACATCTACAGTAGAGAGGCTGGTCTCAGGGGGGGGGGGAGGGAGGAAGAGGGGAGAAGGCTTATAGTTTACAATTCAAGTCCATTTGGAGCACTGCTAACCATTTTCTTATTGTCTGATGGTAATTTCTGCACTATTAAATGTTTATCCTTAAAACAACTGAAAGGAGGCACTTACAAGACAGTCTGCTCCATACTGTTTCCTTCATTGTGTGCATACTCCTGAAGTCTATAAGAGGCCTCTATGTAGATACAACTCATCACCCTCAGTGCTCACATAAGAGCTTCAGGATACAAGACAATTTATTTGCATGTCAAAGAATACAAGCAATTCCATTTTTCCCATTGGTATTTCTCCAGCAACTTTTACTTGTGAAGCTCAAAATGTTTGGTAACTATTAAGCTGCTGGATCTCACAACCTCCTTGATAAGGCAGAGGATCATTTTCCTTGTTTTATCGATGAGCAAATAAACAATGAGATTTGCACAAGAAGTTTGTACCAGTGATGGGATGGTAACCACAGTCCCTTAACACACAATTCTGATTTTTCGCTACAAGATCAAACAAACTACCAGATGGAATCACGGCATATAGCTGCACAGCTCACAATTCCAGCACCATTTTTTCTAAGCCTGGGAATTAACAAATATTGCAAAAAAAACCTCATCTTTGATATTTTAACAACCTTATGAAAGCAATTACAATCTCACGTAAAAAAGCATTGCAATGGACTTCAGAATCCATCCACTCCTGTCTGATGTTAAATAAATCAAATGCACCATATTAATTGAGTGGAGCTGGTTATATTCTAATTCCTTTTAAATCTTACATTTGGTTTTCTAAGTAGAAATGCTGACTTTTCTATACATTGCATAGTAATTTAATTAGCCTTTACACATGAAACTAGGTAATACAACATCTATTCAGTGCATTTTATAGATTTGTTCTCAATTAGAATGAGATTTTTTTTTTTTAACCACTGGCTCAAATTCCTGCAGGCAATGACAGACGTTATGTAACCAACATTTAACTCCTTGGTATCAAGTACAGTATGTAGTATCAAAATTGCCATTCACACCTCTTTACACCAAGATTATTTTTAGTTCAGAACATATCAAGAGATGAGGTCATCCTTAAAGGAACTAAGTTGTCTGAATATATAGTAACTGGCATAAAATGAATTTATTCATGATGTGTATGGTGTTTAAATGCACCCACTGTGAAAGCCAATGAGCACTGCACTAAAGTAAGAAACTGGTAGCATATTCAATTCCAAGGTAATAGATTCACAACAGTATTTGTAATGTTCTATGTACACCTAGAGTGCTGCAAAAATAATAAACGTTCTAAATTGCAGGTGCACGGTTTCAACTCTTGCTGACAAATAAGTACTGTCCAAAGCTACTCGGTTGAGATTTAGTTGGGGTTGGTTCTGCTTTGAGCAGTGGGTTGGACTCTTCCAACTCTAATCAGGTCATTTCTCTTCACCCTAATCTTCTATCATTTTATGACTCAGGGCAGGAGAAGGAAACATCTGAAGTAGATTAGCCTCTGTAGTTCCAATATATTTTTGAGCATATCTCTGCTTCCTGTCCAAGCCAATATAGCTCAATAAATATTTCTATTGCACGTCCATACTACATTGAAACCTATGGTAATAGAAGTGCCCAGTTTGTGTCATTACCAAAGATGTTAGAGTGCCACCTTCAGTCTGTTTACATGGGGAAAAAAATCCCTTCTAAATCTGACTTTGAAGTTAGCAGACACTTTAGAAGAGCACGTGCCTGCTAAAGATATTGAGTAATTTTAGATTGTCATACAATCCCAATATGAACAAAATAAATCAGCCTCTCCAACAGGCTCAGTTGAAACCTTGGAATCATAGGCATGTTGTAAAGGTTTCCTTCCCCCATTGCCACTAGGGATGTGAAGAACTAGTCAACTATCCGACAAGCAAATGCTTATAGGATAGTCGACATGCTAGTTGACTAGTTGCTTTGCCACCCCCCTTGCTGCCTATCAGAAAGAGGGTGTACTTTGAAACGCCGTGTGCAGCCCGTGGCCAGCTGCACTTGCTGCATCTATCAGAAGGAGGCAGCAAGGGGGAGACTAGCAACTAGTCCTTCCAATAAGCATTTGCTGTTGCTACACTTCAAAGGCGGAATCGCTCTATTGACTAATTGAATAGTCAATGCAAAATACATTAACTATTCGATTAGTCCATTAGTTGATATTTAACATCCTTAGTTGCCACTCCTACTAAATTTGTTTCTGATGAGGATGAAAACAAAGAACTTTGGCGTAAAACATAAAAAATGCACACAGTCATTCCTACACCCCTGGACCATCTCTTACTGAAGTATTTACATAGGCCTGAGGAAGCAATACAGTCAGAGAGTTCCATTTTTCTTTTATTTTGTTCTGGGGGGCAAGGGAAGCACTGTTTTTATGTCTCTTAAAAAGAAACAGCTACCAAGAGTGAGACTGAAAAGCAACTTGCTTTGGGGTGATCAAAATGAACTTCTGCCATATTGCCACCACTACTAGCAAGATTGGATTAAAAAAAAAAAAAAAAAAAAAAAAAAAAGCAGGGATTCAATGGCAAATCCTAGGCTTCTACCAAAAGGTCCATTTATTCTCAAACTGGATCTACTACTGCTTCCTGTGGCATGCATATTCCATACACATGTCAGTGGAGAATGTGTCCAACAAGTCATTGCCAACATTTGGAAAACCAGAGATTAAGCCTAGAATTTTGCCATAAGATCTGTGCAGCTTCTCAGGCTACATGCAACTGATGAAGTGGGTCTTTGCCCATGAAAGCTTATGGTCCAACACTTTGGTTAGTCTATAAGGTGCCACAGGACTCCTCGCTGCTTTTGCAGATTCAGACTAATACGGCTACCCCTCTGATACTTTTCAGCAACTGGTGCAATCAGATTTAAGGACTCTGTGATAACACAAACAACCCCTAAATAATAACAACCCCTAAATAATATTAACCTAACTTACTTCTTTATGCCCAGAAAAATCAAAGCCAACACCATTTTGAAGTACTCACCAATGTAATGTGCTAAATGAAGGGAACAATATAAAGGCTGTCTTCTGACAGCACCAGTGATGTGATCAGCTATCTCACTGTGCTAATCCTTTATCAGGTGATTGCTCACAAGATTTCTTTAAGCCCTCATTACCGAAGCAGAAATCCAGAAGTAGGACACAGACTTCAGTGACCCTGAAGTAACACACCCTGTACCACCTCAGGGAGGCCTTGGTGGGTTTTATATTTAAAGGCATATTCTACCTTTACAGGAAAAAGACTGTAAAAATTAAATGAGACCACAAGTTGCATGGCAAAGATAATTAATGAAAATGATAAGTAAAGAAATATAACTATTTAGAAATCAGCAAAGGCTCTTGCTAATCAGTTAGGGTATGTCTACACTACCCCGCTGGTTTGAACTAGCGGGGTAATGTAGGCATACCGCACTTGCAAATGAAGCCCGGGATTTGAATTTCCCGGGCTTCATTTGCATAAGCGGGGAGCCGCCATTTTTAAAACCCCGCTGGTTCGAACCCCGTGCAGCGCGGCTACACGGGGCACAAACTAGGTAGTTCGAACTAGGCTTTCTAGTTCGAACTACCGTTACTCCTCGTGAAATGAGGAGTAACGGTAGTTCAAACTAGGAAGCCTAGTTCGAACTACATAGTTTGTGCCTGGTGTAGCCGCGCTGTACGGGGTTCGAACCAGCGGGGTTTTAAAAATGGCGGCTCCCCGCTTATGCAAATGAAGCCCGGGAAATTCAAATCCCGGGCTTCATTTGCAAGTGCGGTATGCCTACATTACCCCGCTAGTTCAAACCAGCGGGGTAGTGTAGACATACCCTTAGACAGCAGGGAGACAAATTAGTAATTAGAATTTAGAGGCAAAAGACAGTTCCAGGAGCTCTGAACCTGCACTTTGGCAAAGAAAAGGCATTTAAATTTGTTCATCAAAAGGCTTTGCAAAATAGCAGCTATTAATTTTGGTTTATTACTTTAATAACTAATTCATAAGACTACAATAAGTCTTAGAAGTCAGTTTAGGATGCTGTGCAGTGAGACAGGTTTTACATGCATGTCGGATTACAAACAGTTCTCCCAACTGTTGAAAATGTTTTCTTTTATACTAAGCTACATGAGTTTTCAAAACAGACTGTCTTCCCTTCAACCTAGGCAACTGGTCTAAACCAGAGACTAGGTAGGACTTTACTTCTATCCACTTGACACAAGTGTGAATATTTTAGAGGCGTAGAAGCCACAGGTATGAAGATACAGATGATTCTGTAACTACTGAACTGAAAAATTCACACACATCCAACAGACCACCAAATCTTGCTGCCTGCACAATTTTAGCATTAACCATCCATTTACCACACATGGATTGAAACCTGCAACAAGATGTAGTCAATAGTCTAGTCCGTGAAACCTTTTTTTGAAATTAATCCTCTTACAAAAATCTCGACCTTTATGTTATTCTTCAGGTATATTCTCTGATCAAGAAACACCACTAAGGAGGTAAAATACTGAATTATGATAGTCTGTTGTGGTAGGACAAATCCTCTGTTCCTCAAATTCTTACACAAATATGAAGACTATTTGTATTTACTAAACAAATATAGAC